GTATGCAGGCAATGTCGGAATCACTTGATGTGGAAGGTTTAATGAATCTGTTTGCTGATTGGGTAACGACGCAGAGGTGGGAGGATATGAAACAGGTGTTTGAGCTTTGGATTAGGTCGTTGGATAGAAATGGGAAACCGAATAAGCCTGATGCGAATCTGTTTAATTATTATTTGAGAGCTAATTTGATGATGGGTGCTACTGCTGATGATTTGTTGGGATTAGCTAGTCAAATGGAGGAGTATGGACTTGTTGCTAATACTGCTTCGCATAATTTGATCTTGAAAGCTATGTTTCAATCTGGTGAACCATTGTCATGGGCTGATAAATCTGTCAAATTGCTCGAAAGGTTTGTATTTCGAGCTAATCACTTAGCTTTGAATATATTTGTTTGTACAATATAGTCATATACGGATAGGATGTATGCAAACCTTAAACTCTACCTTTGTGGGGTAGCTGTTTCATATAGAACCTCCGCTCAAAAGAAATAACAAATGTATAGAACAAGTGTGATAACATCTATTATGCATTTAAGTTATGTACACGGGTAGTCTTTCAGTATAGGGTTGTTGCTTTACTTTTAGGTTATGGATCCATGCTTATTATAAACTAGTTGTATGAAGTGATAAGCCGGAGGAAGGTGAGGATGACATCTAACCTGGTATAGAAATTAAAACTTTGTATATAACTGTGGATATCCCTTTATTTGCTTTATTGTTCATTTATATGAAATCATTGTTAGCCTTAATTTTATTTTCTAAAAGAGGAGACTGTTAGTTCATTTATATGAAATTGTTGTTGGCCTTAATTATATTTTCTAAAGTTGGAGACTGTTAGTTGAGATTAGTATTGGGCTGAAAAGTTCGTTGCAGTACAAGAAACACAACACAGAAAAACTTAAGACTCAAATTTAGTGAGTTGAGAGTTTTAAGACCTTTATATTCATAGATTAGAAATAGAGAATTTATAAGGCATGTATATTGACAAAAAGATACTATCTTCATTTGTTGTGAAATGAACATTTGCGGCCCTTTCGGTTGGCTGCTAGGGTGATCCAGGATTATGGTATGGTATTTATTTGGAAGGTTTCATATTAGTCAGAAAATGTTAATGACGTTTATTCATATTTGTGTACAGTATAAACACACTAAGAAGCTTTGCAGATTTTACCAGTGATATAGCCGCCAGCTGGTTGCAATTGACAAATCGAAGTTCTCTATTTAGTGCCTCTTTGGATTGACTTACTCTAGGTGCTTTTAAGCCAAAATAGCTTTTAAGTTCTTTTCAAAAGTTTCAGAGGGATTGACAAAATTCAGAGTAACTTTCAAATTTAAGTATTTGAGTCAAAAGCAATAAATTGACTTATTTTAGCTTTTCAACTGTTTTGCTTTGATTAATCTATTAACTTCTTCTTATCACAAATATTTATTTTTCATCCAATATAAATTAAGCTTCAGCATTTGAAATTTAAAACTACTTAATTAAGCCAATGCAAACACATTCTAAGTAAAATAGGAGTACTTATAAGCACTTGTTTTTAAGCCAAAATAACTAAAATAAGCCAAAAGCCATATCTAACTCATGGCTTTTGGCTTATCAGTCATAAGTCAATCCAAACAGGCTCTTAGCCTTACCAAAACAATGGAACATTCAAAATAACATAGTGGGGAACTGCCTCTAAAATGAACTGAGCGAGGCGTGCTAAAACTATTCCAGTTGCAGCAGAAGTCCAAACTCCTGTCTGTTAGTTACTACTGGATTCATAGCTTTATTATTTGGGTTTTATTTTCCTTTAGTTTAGTCTTGCTGCAAACAAAATTTTGCCATATGTCTTTGCTCCTCCTTTTCCATTCTTTCAGCTTGCTTATTCTTGAATTCTCTGGCTCCTTTTGATTTAGTGTGGATAGCAAGTTTACTAAGTGACAAGGAATCTCGTGGAGTTTATTGAGCTCGTCTTGATTGTGACAGTTCACTATGTGTTTTCATCATGCATGCATGTACTCTGTCATGCATTGGTGATATTTGATAGATCTCATGTGCTATACTTATGCCAGGATGATTGCAACTGGAGTTGAGTATAAAGAAGCTTTGCCTGATGAAGAGTCATATGATTTGGTTACTGGCTTGCTATTTAAAGCAAACCTTATTGATGATGCGTTGAAATATATTGATTCAGCCTTAAAATCTGGGTATAAGCTATCCATGAATGTATTTAATGAGTGTGTGCGAAGCTGTATCTACAGCAACAGGCTGGATGCATTGGTGTCAATAATAGAGAAATGCAAGGTTTGTATCCCTTCGATGAGATCATCCGAACCATGAAACTTTCTATTATTTGAAATATATTTTAGTCTTGATACTGCTGTTTTGGGTATTCCCAGAAAACAGATCAGAACAAAGGCCTGTTGCCGCCTTGGAACATGTGCACACACCTTGCAGATAGTGCATTACAAGCAGATAATAGTGAACTAGCTTTTACTTCCTTGGAGTTCTTTGTGAAATGGATTGTTAGAGGTGAGACTGTGAAGCCCCCTGTTTTACTCAGTGTAGGCGAAGGACTGCTTGTGGCTGCACTTGGAACTGCTGGTAGAACATACAATGTGAAACTCCTGAATGGTGCTTGGGAAGTCCTTAAGCGCTCACTACGGCAAATGAGGATCCCTAACCCTGAGTCTTTCCTTGCAAAGATGTATGCCCATGCATCATTGGGACAATTGCAGAATGCTTTTGCTACCCTGCATGAGTTTGAGAAAGCTTATGCTAGTTCTAAAGATGAGAGTGCAGAAGAACTATTTTCTCCCTTTACCTCTTTGAATCCACTGGCTGTTGCTTGCTGCAGGAATGGTTTTGTCACCCTGGACTCTGTATGTTCTCTTTCTCTTCCAACTAAGAATTCTGAATATCTCACAGCTTAGCACTTTGCTGTACCTGCTTAAGTGTGTTGGATGTTCTCTAACTGGGTCACTTCTTAAACTTAGTATTGCCACTGACTTCCAAATATTCCAGGTTTACTATCAGCTGGAGAATTTGAGCCGAGCAGACCCCCCTTTCAAGTCTCTTGCTGCACTCAATTGTGTAATTTTAGGCTGTGCCAATATATGGGATATTGATCGTGCTTATCAGACATTTGCTGCAATTGAATCCACTTTTGGATTAACCCCAGATATCCATTCATACAATGCGCTGATATATGCATTTGGGAAGCTTGGCAAGGTAAATAGAAATGAATGTAACATCTGAATGCACATAGTATGGGTTCAACCTAGAGGTCATTTCTTTGGATCCTATTTATTTGTTCATCGGTAAACATGTACTGAGAAAAACCTGAAGGAGTCATTTTACTAATTAGCCCCCAGGATTAAGCTCAATTGGTAAAGGTTGAGGACTTGTGTCTTACGTCACAAGTTCAAGCCCCATGTCAATTGAAACTAAAGTTCAAGGGGCAGGGCCATCATCCCTGAGTTTTGAAGTCTGTGGTTGGTCCAAAGGGTTCACTCCAAATGAATTTTTCATCATAAAATAAAGTACTGACTGTGATAATTTTGAAGGTTCTTATCCCAAGTATTGTTATAATAGCTCGAAGCTACATTCTTTCATTTGTATGCACAAGTAATTGGAACAAATAATTGCATAGAATGCCTTTCTTCTGTTCTATGATTATATGAATATTAATAAAATATCTTTTCTTGTTGCAGAGGGATGAAGCCACAAAAGTCTATGAGCACTTTATGGATTTAGGAGTGAAGCCAAATGAAATGACATATTCTCTACTTGTTGATGCTCATCTTATTAAGCGAGAACCGAAAGCTGCACTTTCAGTAGTTGATGAGATGGTAACCTGCTTTTCACTCTCCCAATATTTATTAATTAAATGAAACTGCTTGTCATTTTAGCTAAGGAACTATACTTTGGCTTCATGTGCAGGTACATGCCCAGTATAAACCTTCCAAGGAGATGCTGAAGAAGATCCGAAGACGATGTACTCGAGAGATGGATTATGAATCTGATGATCGAGTTGAGGAGTTGACCAAGAAGTTTAACATCCGAATGGGTGCAGAGAATCGTCGTAACATGCTCTTTAATCTTAGATACAACATGGAATATTCTGGTTAGATGTTGCTGAAGTGGAGTTAGAGGTAGCATGCATAGTCAACACCCGTTCAGAATTTCTCGCCCTTCTGCTGAGAAACTTGATGGAATGAAATATTAGTATATCAGTGCTTCTAGCATTTGAATGTTAAAAGACTCTTTTCTCTCTTCTTCTAGCTTGCCTCTGTGCTAGTTGGACAGCTGATGTTGGCGTTTCGCAAAGTTTAGCAGTGTCACATCTCATATACCTCGGGGCGATCCTCTAACCAGTGGCTGTAAATTACTTAGTTCTGGTTAGTATTGAGCTGTGGAGGATGGTGTCTGGTTAGAAGGTTTTTGTTTTAACATATTTATGTATTCTTTTTTCCACCCATTAGGTAGCTTTTAAAGACAGGGAATTGCTAATGAAATGAGATGAATCTCATTTTTTGAATAAACTGTACTCTTCATGCTGAAGCAGTTTGCATCAAGTGCAATTTTCTGCTTTATTCTTGCTTCAGTTTCTTCCATAGTTGATTACCAATTTTACATGTGAATTCTGTTTGCTACATTTTGAGGTGTGAGAAAAATTTGTCTACTACCCTTTTAGCCTCCTTGTTTATCCTTCCTTTAATTTCTTGTCCTTCGATTTATGTTATTATCAACGATCTATTATTCTTCGATTATCACTCTATCTTATTGTAGTTACTATTCTACTTACATGTATGCATTTTTTTAAAAAGTAATCATAACTATATGAATTGATAGATATATCTAGCGCGATTTTATGTGTTTGATATATCAAATTAGAGCTAACTCTAGGCAAACTATAGCTATTTATGTTAGTTTTAATTTGATACTTATTAAATTCAAGAGCCCAAAACTGATCCAATTCAAAAACCCCCAAAACCAGCCCATTAGAATCTTGAATTTTAGATCAAACAAATTGAAAATACCTAGTTTTTTTTCTCTCAATAAATTGAATCAAAACCCGTTTCAAGAAACGAAAAATATATATATAAAAAATCAAATCTTTGATGGATGATTCTCCAAAAAAGTGGTAAATTTTCCATTCCCAGAAAATCTCAAGAACCAAAAAGCAAATGGGGCAGAATACTGGTGCAAGTGGCAAAGGGAAGAAAGAAGCAGAAACGGAAAAGGAAACAGTGGTAGAAGAAGAAGAAGAGGAAGTTGAAGAAGGTGGAGAAGAAGCTGAACAAGATGGAATGTCTGTTCATTCTCCTTGTAAACCTGCATCTTCTGCTCTTCGTAAGGTACTTTTTTTTTTCTTAATTAAGAAAAATTTAGGTACCCTTTGTGTTTTTATTCATATATGCATGGGGTAGGGTATCGGACCAAACATCATTCGTCGAAAAATTATACTATTAAGTTTGAATTTTTATATTAGATACTTATTAGAGGTTGAATCCCTTTTGATTAAATATACATTTGCTCTAGCCTTGGGGATAGAGAGTAGGAATAGACAAGTATCAATCTTGCTCTTAATAGGCATAGGACTCAAAAAGTGGGGATCAGCTTACCTGATAGTACTTATTGTCCGTGGGAGGTGACAAATATCCGGACTCGGACAACGCGGTTATCTAATAATGAAAAAAAGATGTTGAATCCCTTTTATTTAAATTCCCATCGGTTGGCCTTGGTGGATAGAGTTACTTGGTACATGTTGCTGGTGGGAGTTGACAGGTATGCTGTGGAATTTATCGAGTCATGCGAAAGCGTATCAGATACCATGAGTATAAAAAGATGAAGATGTTGAATCCCTTTGGTTTCTTTGTATTTTGAATCCCCTTGGTAAAATTCGTGGCTTTGCTGCTAATTATATGCTTGTTGATTTGTTTTACAGTATTGATGGATTCTTTTGTTTTTTTTTCCTTTATGGGTATGTTTATTTTTCGAACTATAGGAACAATCACAGGTGGAATTGGAGATAAGATTGTTGGAGGCTCTTGAAATCTATCCCCCTGCCAAATTGAGAGGTATTATTTGTAGGAAGTGTTATGTGTCATTGCTCCTGTTATATGTTTCCTCTTTTAAGTTTTGCTGTGTTTTCTGTTATTAAAGCTGAAAAGGTGGCAACTTTATGGTAGTTTGTCTAGTTCATAAGTAAAATTCACAGTAAAATGTGGTGGATAGAAACTCGTGGTGTAATCTGGAACTTGCATTACATTTTTCTTTCTGCTGTGAGAGTGATCAGACGTTTAACATTGCAGGCATCCATCGTCATTTTGTCCTATACGGCTTAACAGAGCATCTGCGTAGAAGGTTACTAGGCTACATTTGTTCTTTTGTTTTATTAACTCTTCATTTTGTGCTTTGTGATTGAGCTTAGCTCATGCCAACACTCTCAGAAAAGAAATAAGAAAGCTGAGGCACGTGTAAAAAGTGTACCTAAGAATGAAGAAACTTAACATAGCTTTATCATTTGTCTTTCAACACTGGATTTTTTGTCACAGCTTCAATAGGCAATTTGCTCCTGATGATGTTTTGAAGCTGCTGGATCGCTTCTACAACTTGGATATGGTGGTAAGTGTTATTGATTTTACTTTCTATTTAACTTCAATCTTCACAACTTTTCCGTTATTAAGTATTTGATTTGAAAGACTGCTTGTTTGAGCAGAAATATTTACATATGTAAAGCCATTCTTCCTGCTCCACAAACAGCAGGATCATAACTGATATACCAATATACAGTGTTGCACGTTCTTGACGTAATAATCCGAGTTTCTTAGAAATCAAATCCTCTTAATTTATCATAGTTAATCCCGTGTATTCCAAGAGACCAAAATTAGGACATTGGAAAGTGACATCAAGGAGACAGATTTATTCAATTTGTTGCTAAATTTTGGCCCTGTACAGCATACATCCTATTTATATTTGATCTCGATAGAAAGAGATTGAATACTTGAAACAAAACTTGTTGGACTACATAATTTAATTTGAGAATTACGTCTCACTTCATGAAAATATGCTTATGTTACTATTCGTCATTTTATTTCATAGAACCTTCAACTTATGCTTCTTTTCTGTTTCATTGGCTAGAATCTTGGTTTAATGGGGCAATCTTTTCAGTAGTTACGTGGAACGAGTGTTCTTATAGTTGTATTCATTTTTACTAATTTCAGAAACCAGAGGACGAGGACTCTGAAATCCTAAATCAAGAGGAAGAGTTTTGCCTACCTCACAGTTATTTCTCGAGGGACGAACCTTGAACTAAGTTGGAATCGATATGGATATTGAACTTCTACATATGGCAGTTTTTGTATAGTAGTATCTGGGTGGTTCAATTTTTTTTTTTTTGATGCCATAAGAGATTCTGCATCTATTAATCTTACTGAAAAGTTTGTATGCATGCTGATATTTCAGCTCTCCTTATATATACAGTAGACAGTTGGATCTTTTTACAATTTTTCTCATAGAGATTTGATATATTGTGAAGCATCAACATCCACTGTGTCAAGAGATGCTGTCTACACCATACTCCTTGGGTGCCACCCTTCCACAGACGCACTGCGTAAACATGAGATATTTTGTGCATCGAGCTGTCCTTTTGAATCTGGTTGATAAATCATTATGGAATTAGTTGTTGTGTTGCATATATGCAAAATGTTAGATGGCTAGAGAGCTTAATTATCCTTTTTTTTTTCTAACATGGTTAAATAGCTTCATGGTAGATTTCTTTCATGTGGCAAAAATTAGTGGTCATTGGGCATAGAGTAACAAGGAACCAAAAGATGTTTCACTTTATCCTAGAGGGAACTTTACTATCCTTCTAGGGCAAATATCATATCACAAAAAAATTTATTGATTTAATACACATAAAAAAATTAAGAAAATCGTCTATTTCCTTTTGAGTGATCCTAAATGCTATAAAAATGACGCGGATCATGATGAGACTTTACATAATACATACTACTCTCTCAGGTTATTATGAAGGATCTTGAAAAGATTTTGCATATCACTAAAAGAGTACTTGGAAGTCATATCTGAGAAATTGTCTAATTCTTGTTGAGTGATTCTAAATGCGAAAAAAATGATATGGATCATAGTATGGACATACCGCTCTCTCAAGTCATTACAGAGGATTATGTAAAAGTTTTGAAAAAATAGTGTCTGGAAGCCATATCATCAAAAAATTCATTGACTAAAACAAAAAACTTGGAAAATGGCCTAATTTTGTTGAGTGACTCCTAAATACTAAAAAATCGACGCAGATCAGGATGAGATTATACGTACTGCTCCAGCAGGTCATTATGGAGGATTCTATAAAGGTTTTGCAAAAAAAAGTGCTAAGAAACCATATCACTAAAAAATTCCTTGACTGACACCCAAAAAAATTGAGAAAATCGCTTAATTCTTATTGATTAGTTTGAAAATATGGTGCAGATAATGGTAAAACTATATTTACCGTTCCCCTGGTCATTACAGAGAATCTTGTAAATGTTTTGCATAAAAAGTGCCAGAAATCCAAATAATCAAAAAATTCATTAACTAACACACGAACTAAGAAATTGCACAGATACCGCTCCCCAGGTCCAGAGGATCTTTTAAATGTTTTACAGAAAAAGTGCCAGAAATCCAAATCATAAAAAAAATGCATTAACTAACACACTAAGTAAATTGCATGTTTCTGATGAATGGCCTCTAAATGATAAAAATATAGCACAGGTCATGGTGAGCCTTTAGATACCACTCCCCCAAGTCATAAGGATGATATTGTAAATGTTTTGCAAAAAAGGTGTCTAGAAACCATATAAACCAAAAAGTGTGTTGCTTAACACCCACAAAAATTTGGAAAAAGCACCTAATTCTTGCTGACTTTTTAATGCCAAAGAGACATGGATCATGGTGAAACTATATGTATCACACTCCTCCATGTCATTACAGAGGGTCTTGCAAAATTTTTAAGTAAAATTTGCCCGTAAGCCTGGACTACACCACACGTGAAACGGTAAATTTGGACATTCTTGCTCTGGGTCTTGTTTAAGCTTGAAAATGCGAACGTTTTTCCCTTAGGACCAACTCATACCACTGATAAGGTCTTAAGGAAAACCCAAATAAATTTCACCCAAAAACCAGTCGGGATCACGTATCACCAAAAATTCGTGGACGATAACACATGTAAAATGGTAAATTTGGTATTCCCCACTCTAGGCCTCGTTAATTGAAAATATGGACGTTTGCCCCTGGGGGCCAACTCATGCTATTAATAAGATTTTAACAGACGCCCTAAAAAATTTAGGCCAAAAATCTATCGGGATCATGTATCATCCAAAATCCATGGACTTAGCACATGTAAAACGGTAGATTTGGTCATTCTCACTCTAGGCCTCGTTTGAACTTAAAAATACTAACGTTTTTCCCTCGACACAACTCACACCATTAATAAGGTCCCAATGGACACCTACAAGAAAATCTGGCCAAAAAACCATTGGAATCACGTATCACCCAAAATTCATAGTATAGCACATGTAAATCAGTAAATTTGGTCTGTTTAAAGTCTCATTTGAACTTGAAATGCGAACATTTCCCCCTCAGGACAACTCATGGTATTAATAGGGTCTTAAGGAAGCCCATAAAAACTTTTGGCGCAAAAAATCATCACGATCGCGTATCACCCAAAATCCATGTATTATAACACATGTAAAATGGTAAATTTGATCATTTCTGTTGTGGGCCTCATTTGAACTTGAAAATACAAATATTTGCCCCTCGAGACCAACTTACGCCATTAATAAGGTCTTTACGGACGCCCACAATAAATTTCGGCTAAAACCCCACTAAAATTACTTATCATCCAAAATTTATGGACTATATAGCACACATAAAATGGTAAATTTGGTATTCCTGCTCTGGGCCTCGTTTGAACTTGAAAATGCGGACGTTTTTCCTTCGTAACAAACTCACACCATTAATAAAGTCTTAACGGGCGCTTACAAAATATTTTGGTCAAAATCCCGTTGGGATCACGTATCACCCAAAATTCATGGATTATAGCATATGTAAAACGTTAAATTTGATCATTCTTGCTTTGGGCCTCGTTTGAACTTGAAAACGCGGACGTTTGACCCTCGGACCAACTCACGCCATTATAAGGTCTTAACAGACAGTACAAATTTTTTTGACCAAAAACCCGTCGGGATCATGTATCATCTAAAATTCATGGACTATAGCACAAATAAAATAATAAATTTGGTCATTCACGCTCTAGGCCTCGTTTGATCTTGAAAATGGGACGTTTGCCCCTCAGGACCAACAAACACCATTAATAAGGTCTTAACGGGCACCCACAAAAATTTGATAAAAAATCCACCGAGATCACGTATCACCCAAAATCCATGAACTATAGCACATGTAAATGGTAAATTTTGTCATTCCCGCTCTGACCTTGTTTAAACTTGAAATGCAGACGTTTGCCCTTCGAGACCAACTCACGCCACTAATAAGGTAATAAGGTCTTAACAGACGCCCACAAAAAAATTTGGCAAAAACTTGTCGGTATCACATATCACCCAAAATCCACGAGCTATAGAACATGTTAAACGATAAATTTAGTCATTCCCGTTGTAGGCCTCGCTTGAACTTGAAAATGCAAACATTTGTCCCCCGGGACCAACTCACACCATTAATAAGGTCTTAACGGACGCCCAAAATAAGTTTCGGCAAAAAACCCGTCGAGATCATGTATCACCTAAAATTCATGGATTATAGCACATGTAAAACGATAAATTTAGTCATTCGTGCTTTGGGTCTTGTTTGAACTTGAAAATGCAGACGTTTTCTACTCGGGACAAACTCACACCGTTAATAAGGTCTTAATGGATGCCCCAAAAAAATTTGCTCCAAGACTCAAGATCCTTTGGCTAATACACACGAAAAATCAAGAAAGTTGCGTAATTTCTAAAAATTGGCTCGTAAATATAAAAATATGTCTTAAAAATGATGGGACTATACACAATGTTTCTTCAACTCATTGTGGCTTTGCGGGTGAGCTTAGCTCATGCCACACTCTCAGAATTGAAATAAGAAAGTCGCAGGGACGACTCTATGCTTTGGTATTTAAGGCCTTTGCCTTAAGCCTCCAAATTTTTGTCAAGATTAAATTATGTGTCAAAATTTTGATAGAAGAATTGATTATTTATGATAAAAAGTATAATTTTTTTTAAAAATAAATATTTTATCCTCTTTAGTATTTTTTGTACTTTGTTAAAAATAAGATTTAATAGTGAAAAGTGTTGGAAAAAGTGAATTACAAATTCTTCTTTTTTTTTTCTTTTTAATTTCAAGCATTAGTAGAGTATAAGCATATTAAAATGAGGTATACCAGGTCATCAACTTCTTGAGTCAAATTTTATGGTTCTTACTCTTATCTTTATTTAAAATTTATCAACTTATTACTTATAGCATTATGTTAACAATACATATAATAATTGTCTCACTTAAAGGATGTTTTTCAATGTTGAGTTGATAATATCTTACCTAAAACTAGTAACCGAAAAAACAATATTAAGTACTAATAATTTCCATATAAATAGTGTAAAAAAAATAATTTTTGAATAAATACGTATATAAAGTGTATTTTTATAGGAAAACTTTCACATATAGCCACTTAAAAATAATTAATTACTCTCTATAGCTATAGTTTGATAACTACAATTTGTAGCTACATGTTATTTGGAGGAGAGAGGCGAGCGATACCGGGAGAGAGAGGAGAGAGGCGAGAGAGAGGGGAAAAGGAGTGGGAGCAAGGTGAATTATATATGTATATTGGTTAGATAATTGTACATTATACATATGTAATTGTATATGTGACAAGAGAGATTGGGAGAGGGAGGAGAGAGGCGAGCGAGACTGGGAGATAGAGGAGAGAGTCGAGCGAGATTGAAAGAGGCAAGTGAGAGAGGGCAGAGAGTGGGAGAGGTGAATTGTATATGTATATAATTGTATATAACTATATATTATACATATACATTTGTATAAATGGCAAGCGAGATTGAGAGAGGGAGGAGAGAGGCGAGCGAGATTGAGAGAGAGAGGAGAGAGGGCAGAGAGTGGGAGAGAGGGAATTGTATATGTATATAGACTAAAAAATTGTATATTATACATATTTATTTGTATATCCTGGCGAATTATACATATACGAACATGACTAATTATACAAATTTGAAGTCAGCCCACGTAATTAATGTATAATGTTAGTCGCGGGTGGTAATTATAGCAAACTGTAGCTATGATGAGTAATTAAATAGCACAAGTTTGCTTATCTGCGTAATTTTTCCATTTTTACATTAGTCCGCGAATTGAAATTTCGCTTTAGGTCCCCAATTACGTTGAGCCGCCCCTGGAAAACCGTGGCATTTGGTTAAAACTTAATATGACTATCCTGATTTTTGAAGCTGCTGGATCGCTTCTACAATTTGGATATTAGTATGCATTATTGGTTTATTATATATGATTTTGGGAGGGCAGCATGGGTTCATGTGAACCCAGTGACCCCCTCCGTGATACGCCTCTGACGGTGAAAGCTTTAATAAGGAGGAAGTGTTTTGCCAACCACGCAGTTATTTCTCGATCGAGAAACCTTGACCTAATTAGAATCAATATGGATATATTGAACTAGCAGTTTTTGTCTAGTAGTATCGGGATGGATAATTTATTTCTAATAAACCCTCTACTCAAGGAAAAACAATCTTGAAAAAAACGTAATAGAAGTACAAAAAACGACAAATAATAACAAAAACAACATACAATAACAAAACAATACAATAGTCGAGGTATAAGGAATCAATAAAGATCGAGTAACATAAATCGAAGAATAAGAAACCACAAGAGCAATACTACCAATTGCAAAAGCAGTTGGTGTCTTGTAAAGCTGAGATATCTTTTTTCTTGAGGTAATTTGTTGCGCGCGTATCGATTATTGTTTAGCTTTTGATGCAAATAAAATAAAAATCTGATGTTAGAAGATTCATAATAAGCTGTATATCAAACTCACTTCAGGCTCAACAGATTTTGATTCATCAGCCTTGATCACATTCTCTTCACTATTATTCCGCAATTGATCGTATCTGTAGATACAAATTGTTGAGTAATACAACGAAATTGGATCGAACAAATACAAATGTATCTTTACTATATGCAGCGCGGTGACTATATGCGTTGATACATTGAATTTGAGCTAATATTTATGAAGTGCGATTAGACAAACTATAAAAGGAATATAAATGAAAATTATACTCCTATTATGAAATAAATATTCATTTATATCCTCTTAAAAATATTTGATATTAAATCTTAAAGCCCAAAAATAATACAATTTAAAACCCCCCTAAAAACCAGCCCACAAGAATCTTTTTTTCTTTTTTAAGATCAGACAAAAAAACCTAGTTTTTATCAATAAATTGAATCAAAAGCCAGCTTTCAAGAACCAAAAAAGCAAATGGGGAAGAACACTAGTGCAAAAGGCAAAGAAAAGAAGGAAGATGAACATGATGAACAAGATGGATATTCTGTTCAATCTCCTTGTCAACCTGCCTCTTCTCATAAGGTACAATTTTTAGGTTAACTTTTTGATCATTGATCCATATATATATGTTTTCGTCGAAAAATTATACTATCAAAAATTTTAGGTATATATATAGTAGATGCTCCCTTTTATATATGTATAGTGAATTGAGTTACCTGGTGGTACCTCCGGTGGGAAGTGGTAGGTATCCTGTTGAATTAATTAAGGTGCACGAAAGCTGATCAGGATTCCGTGTTTATGAAAAAAAAATGTTGAATCCCTTTGGTTTGTGTACATTTTGAATCCCTCTATAAAAATTGAGGCTTTGCTATTGATTATATGCTTGTTGATGTGATTGATTATAGAATTTATTGGTTTTGTTGTTTCGTTTCTTCTATAGGAGGAACAATCGCAGGTCGAATTGGAGATAAGGTTGTTGGAGGCTCTTGAAATTTACCCCCTTGCTAAATTGAGAGGTAAAAATTGTATAAGTTTTATGTGTCATTACTCATTTTGTATGTTTAATTTCCTCTTTAAGTTTTGTTGTGTCTTTTTTTTTGTTATAGAAGCTTGGAAGGTGGTAACTTTATCATAGTTTGTCTAGTTCATAAGTAGAAATTCACAGTAAAATGTGGCGGATAGAAACTCGTGGTGTAATCTGGAACTTGTTGGTAAATAGAAGTGCTTTGATTAGTAGGGTTTGAAGAATTTACTACAGTGCACGCGTTACCTTTCTATTTAGATGGACGGTGTGTAATTGTAAGGAGTTGTTTGGTTGGTATGCTAGTTATGCATGGATTATATGCGGGGATTGTTTATGCAATAAATAATAATGTAAGGCTTGCGAGCTATTGCACAGACACATGGTTTTCCCTGTGGGTTGCGGGTTCCCTTGTCATTAAATATTACTGCATCATACCTAAGATGTAATAGAATTAGTTTCTTTCATGCTATTTAGCGTAGAGGGGTTCCTTGCATAGCTAAGTAGAAGAGTTATAGAATGTACGTTGTGATCGAGGAAAAAAAATAACTGTTGATGAGTAATTTGCTTTTCTGAAGGCAAAAGAAATGAAAAGCACAGATTAGTTGCACTAACTTTTGCTTTCTGCTGTGGAAGTGAGACACGTTTAACATGTTCATCGTGATTCTTGTTGCAGGCATCCATCGCCATTTTGTCCTTTTCGGCTTAACAGAGAATCTGAGTAGAAGGTTACTAGACTACTTTTGTCCTTTTCGTTTATTAACGCTTCATTTTGTGAATGAGCTAGCTCATACCACCACACTCTCAGAGAAGAAATCGGATGCATTTGGTTAGAATTTAATGTGATTTTATCGTTTATCTTTCACCACTGATAATTTATTGTCACAGCTTGAGAAGGCCATTTACTCCTGATGATGTTTTGAAGCTGCTGGATCGCTTCTACGACTTGAATATGGTGGTATGTATTATTGGTTTTACTTTTTATTTAACTTCAATCTTCACAACTGTTCCGTTATTTGGTATTTGAGACGGCTTGTTTGAGCAGAGGAATTTACATATGTAAAGCCATTCTTCCTGTTCCATGCTTATCAGAATCACTATATTCTGCATTTTATCTCGTAGAATCTTCAACTTATGCTTTTAGCTGTTCTGTTTCATATACACTAGAACCTTGGTTTTACGTGGATTTTTTTTTGATGTTACGTGGGATGAGTGTTCTTACTGTGGTGTTCTTTTAACTAATTTCAGAAACCAGATGACGGGGATACTAGAATCTTCAAGAAGGAGGAAGGGTTTAGCCTACCGCACAGTTATTTCATGATGGACGAGGAGCCTTGATCAGCTAGTTTGGAATCGATATGGATATTGAACTTCCATAGAGAATCCTTCTCCCCACCCCACCCCCCGTCTTTCTGTATTTGAATCCATTGTGAAGTATCAACATCGATATTGTCTACATCACGCTCTTTGGGTGTAGTCCTTCCTTAGACTTTGTGTAAACGCAAGATGTTTTGTGCATCAGACTTCTCTTTTTAATTTAGTCATTTTGTTGTTTTCTTGTATAATGCAAAAATGTACAATGGCTAGAGAGTTTGCTTATACTAAATGATGTGGTGTAGTTAAATAGCTTCATGGTATATTTCTTTCATGTGACACAAATTTAAAAATGCCCCAATGGGATGACTTAGCGGTCAATGATCATTGCGTTACAAGAAACCAAAAGTCTTTCACTTCACTATATAAGAAACTTTGCTAACCTTCTCGATCAGTTAGTCTAACCATTGGGGATTCCTTCTTGCTTATCCACCCCTCGTAAATGATAATGATGGATTTCGTGCTAAGGAATGAATCGGGGAACTAAGGATGTTTCCAATATCGATCACGAGGTTTGAATTCCAGCAAGAGATGACAACTAGGTGCATTCCTCTTTGGTTGATGGAGGTAGTATATATATGGTGCATGTTTCTCATTTGTTCAAGCTTTAGTTGATACAATGGTTGATCTCGAATATCTGTTTGGCCATGAAATATGTCAATAATTTTTTTTTTTTACCTTATAATCAATGTTCGATCATGAAAATTCCAAATCCAACTCGAAAAAAGCCATTTTCCAACTCACTTTTCGCTTTTGAAGTTGTATTTGAGTATATTCAAATATGGACATTATTCCATTTTTTGCAACAAGTTAATAAAACACAATTTCATTTTCAATAAATTTCAAAAAAGTGAAAAAAAAAGTACTTGGAAACAACAGATAGTAACAAAACTACAACAAAAAAATACAATAGTCGTGACTCGTGGTACAAGGAATCAACATATAATAATCACATAAATCGAAAAACAAGAAACTACAAGAGCAATACTACGACTATTAATATGAACGGACAACAACACAATGCATAACTATAAATGATTGAACATAAAAAAAAAAGAAAAAGAAAGAAGATACTATTAAGTAATACAAAATGTGCCTGTTGTTTAGATGATAACTCTTCCACAATAAACAACATGAGTAAATAAAAAACAAAAAATCAGTGAACAAGTCTCAAACTAGTAAAAGAATAAAATCAGATGATCAATCAATAAATTGCATCTTAATTCTTCTAATGAGACTATGGCAAAAGCAGTTTTGTCTTGTAAAACTGAGAAAAAAAATAAATCCTGTTGTAATTTGGCGCGCGTATCGACTATTGTTTATCTTTTGATGCCTCCTGTGATGATGCCAAGAAAATAAAAATTTGATGTTAGAAGAGTCATATAAACTTCAAAAAGTTTTAAGTTATGTAACTTACTTCAGGTTCAACAGATTTTGCCTCAGTAGATTTTGCTTCAGCTGATTTTGCATCAGCAGATTTTGGTTCAACAGCTTTTGGTTCATCAGTCTTCACATTCTCTTCACCTGTAAAACATCTTTATCTTCAGTATTGCTTCGAAAAGATTTTTTTTTTTTTGCGTGAGTTTAAGTTCTATGCACTGACGAGTTATTTTTTTGACACATAATAAAGTCATTTATAAGGTGGTTGCGACTAAATCTCTCGATAAGCATTAATTTGTAACTTCATGAAAATGGTATATATGGTACCTGACCTATTATATGAAAATGGTTGATTCGTCGAAAAATGGAAAAGGAAAATTATTTGATACGTCGATCCTCAGAAAAAGAAATAAGCAAAGGTTCAGTCGTTGAGTGACAAAAAATTATGGAAAGTTACAATCCCCTTAATGGAATAGAGACCTGCACGGCTTCATTGACGTTGTTTTTTGACTGGAAGTCTGAGAGCTAACTATCGAGATTTTGGACTATCTGTGAATGGTTCGTGCATGTTTGTTGCCAGGAGAAACAAGGTCAAGTTTTCAAGGTAACAACACTTCATTTCTACTTCCTTACAGTCGATGATATCATAGAAGCCTCTTTACCATTTTCTACAAATATGAAATTCTATTTTTACGGATAGGGATGAGGGGTGTGTTTACACTGTCAGTGCATATAACTTCTAACAAAAAGTAGCAAAAGTAGCGTTTTTCTACTAAGCGTGTAGTCAGAGGAAGGGTCGGACCACAAGGGTTTATTGTATGAAGCCTTACCCTACATTTCTGCAAAAGGCTGTTTCCACCAGAGATGGATCCCGTGACCATTAGGTCATATGACAATAGTTTTATCAGTTACATCATGGATCACCTTCATCCATTTTATATTAGTAATTGTTTACGATAATTAATTACCTCCATCTTCAGGCAAATCAGAAGTCCATAGAGTGAGATTGTCTCTCAATAGCTGCATAATTAAGGTACTGTCCTTATATGATTCCTCACTTAAAGTGTCTAACTCTGCAATTGCCTCATCAAAAGCTTGTTTAGCCAAGTGACATGCCCTGCAAGTTGAGTCATATTATCATATCATATCATATCATATATGTATAACATTAAGATTACACTCGGTACATTGTTGTTGTTAATGTATTAATCAAGATTGGTTAAAAATGTTACCTTTCAGGAGAGTTCATGATCTCATAGTAGAAAACAGAGAAGTTCAAAGCAAGACCAAGACGAATCGGATGAGTTGAAGAGAGATCAGTGTTTGCAGTGGCAGTAGCAGCCTAAAAGGAGCAAAAAGATGCAAAATCAAGTGGTATTCCAAGTAATGTGCATCGATTAATCGACTAAGGAGTAACTTGCCTCATAGCCTTTCAATGATTGTTCAGAAGCCTCTTTCCTTTCGGAATCAGTCTTGAACTCAGCGAGGTAACGAAAATAGTCACCTTTCCTGAACAAGAATGATAAAGATAAGAAGGTAGATCTATTAAAAATATATCGAAAATTGAAAGAGTTCGATTTTGAAACATCTGATTCACTGGCGCTACCAAAAAGTCTCATGCTTGTGTTAGTGTTGATGATGGCAGCTTGATTATGTTGGACCACAAGGATCACGGTCGTGCTTATGATTTTCATTTCAATCATCATATTGATGTGATAAATCTCCTTGTTCTCTCCCGGGGATCGGAGATTGGGAGATTACATGTAAGCCAGATTCTTCACAAACCATATTCAACCTCTTTTTCTTTTCTCTTTTTCAAATCACAGTCCGTAGCCAACTTGCATCCACATCGACTAGTTCCACGGGGTATTATCTACCTCCCACCAACTTATCTACTAGTTAACCCTATTACCTTGTCCATCGATTATAACAAAGCAAATGTTGGTATAACAATGACCATAGGGGATGATACTATAGGAAGCACGGTTTAAAAAGAAAACTCGATTGACTTACATTTTGTAATAGAAGACAGTAGCTTCACCAGTGCCAGCAGATGGAATGAGATGTTTGTCAATGATATCAAGAATATCAGAGCAAATCTTCGAGAGCTCTTCCTCGACCTTTTGACGATAGCCTTTTATCAGCTTGACATTTTGCTCGTTCCCTTTCGACTCTTCTTTCTGTTCAATGGAAGACATAATACGCCATGAAGCTCTTCGAGCTCCAATGACATTCTTGTAGCCAACAGAAAGCAAGTTCCTCTCCTCCACTGTCAATTCCACATCAAGTTTTGCAACTTTCTTCATACTCTCAACCATCTCTGTAAAATCAAGATTTATACATTCCATTTAAGAACTACTCAGTATTCACAAACCAAGATTCAACTTTTTACTATTTAGTTATCAATCAACAAAAAATAAAAAATCGAATTGATTTTTCATACTGTCACTCAACTAATAGTTATTATATCAGAAAGTGACTAAGTCACTTCGGTTTTTTCTTCTTTTTTCCGAGTCATCACTTGATCATTCAAATCGAAGCAATTGCATGTCTAATTAATTGTGCATTGAAAGGTAATCAATAGATCTACCTTCGTCATATATTCCATACATCACACTAGATCATAAATATCACCGGATTTTTTTTTATATAAAAGACACATGTCATGCATTTATTGCTTTGATGCATATCGCGAGTAAGTAACCAATTTTTCATCATTGTACTCATATGTTCTGTTTTCCAAAGCTTGTACATAGAAATTACTACTATAATCATGTATAAAATTAAGAGGAGCATCTACTACTTCTAAATCAAAGAATCCGTCTCAAGTACAGTCAAACCCTTCTGTAACATTTTCCTATAAAGATTAATTTTTCATAGTATATTATATGTTCTCTATAACATCATTTCGTTATATACAACATCCAAAAAGATATCCATACAAACGACATTGTTATAGAGAGGTTTGGGAAAATAAATGAAACTAACCATCGTAACGCTCAGCTTGCTCGGCGAGCTTGGCCATGTAAACATGAGTTTCTCTTTCCTTTTGAGAAGCCATATTCAATGCAAATTGTAGTAAACAAACAATATAAAAATAGATGTGATGTTCAAATGTCAAAATTAAAATAGAGTGTTCTTGTTTGCAAATGAGATAAGATAAGATAGTTGTTTTGAATGAGTTAAAGAAGTAAAGGAAAAGCGTGAGAAAAGGGAAAGTGGATGAATGAGAGAATTGTGGGAGGATTTGACTAAATCTCCATCTTTGGATCATTTTTAGTACACATATCATTCATGTTAAAAATTGTATAATAGCATTAAAATAGGTAACAAACTTATTATTAGCTTATTGTAAAGAACTGATGATGTGTTTCATTTAAAAAAAGAGGCATAATATATAAACATATACATAAAGTTAGCCTCAATTGGTAAGTTAACCGTTAACGCGTCTATATTGTGTCAGTTGAACACTCTAACTTACAAAATGATTATATAAACAACACCAAAATTTATGTGTCAGTTGAACACTCCAACTTACAAAATGATCGAATGTGAGTGTTTTTGATATCCATCACATGTTAACAAATTTTGGTGGCTAGATGTAACGTTACTAACTTGTATGCCTAATAATTATTTCACTCTTTTTCTTGTTATATTATTAGGGTTGTATTTAGTTGTTCTATGAAGAAATAACACGAAAAGGCAATGAAGATTAATTATTGAGATTTAAGAGGACTAAGTAGGTATTTTAAAAAAATTCAAACGAAGGCGACTATATTTATTGTTTGAAGTTGGAAAAAAAGTTTGATATTTTTAAAGGTGTTTTTTTTTATATTTGAATGAGAGTCGAGATTTAGAAGTTTGAATCTCAAAATTCCTATATACAAGTATTTGTGTAATTAATCAAAAGCTAGCGAGGTACAAGAATGATGTGAAATGAACCCGTAAGGGAGGCTAAATCGGTAGACTAGGTGGTGGGATGCCAACAATCGATTAATCTTTGTCCTCGCCTTTTCAACCGTTTTCAAAAAAAAATATTTATCATGTGTAAGGTTATAAATGACGAAGATATTGAATGTTGAATAGTGCCAGTAGCTCTTCAATTTCAAAATTGGGAAAAAATGAGATATCAAATTCTTTCTATGTAGTAAAGTAACTACTTCTTATGCTACATCAAACACCAGATGGGAAATCAAGAAAGCTACTTCTTTGGCGGCAAAGTTCAATATAGCCACCCCAGTTGCTACCTTGATATGCTTTTAGAAGACCAGCCATAGAGGAAACATATCTTTTTCTAATCCCACCAATCAAATCCATAGTGTCCTACTTGTCATAAATCTCAACCAGAGCTTGACAAGTAGGACAATGAACTTAAACAATAGTATTCGGAAAAAGTAAGCTCCTATGTGACAAGTCTTCCGAAGGTATATCTAGGTAACCATTATGCACCTCAACACTTTTCCAGAGTAGTTTGTGGTTGAAATTCAATGCCACCACACTTTATACACCAGTTGCTACCATGATATGCTTTTAGAAGACCGACCATAGAGAAAGCTTATCTTTTTCTAATCCCACCAATCAAATCCATAGTGTCCTACTTGCCATAAATCTCAACCAGAGCTTGACAAGTAGGACAATGAACTTAAATAATAGGATTACAAAAAAATAAGCTCCTCTATGTC